TATATATATATATATATATATATATATCTCATCACTTAAATGCATCTCTTTGGACAATCGAAGGATTTGAAGCCCTATCTCAGAAATTCCTACATGTAAGAAGAAGAAGAAGAAATATGCAAAAGCCACAGCGGCATGGCGATGCTTTGCTTTTCAGTGTTTTTTTTTTAAGATCATGACAACCTTATTTTTGCCATTGAGACTGTTCAATGTTTGGTAAGCTTTAGGAAATTAGTTGGGGAATTCTGGAATGTTAATTTTGTGGATTTTATCAGCTCCTTTTGCTGGATTTGAATCAATCTTTGGTCAATTGTAGTGTCTGAAAGATAGGGTTGCCTATAATTGTTTTCTTTAATTCCAAACGGCAAAACTAATGTGGCAAAATGGAAATATGGTAAATATATATAGCTAAAAATATTCACTGGAATCTCAATCTTCTGGCCAAGAATATAGCTCAAAAAGATTCCATGGGATCTCAATCTAGTAGCCAACAATCTTACTGCAAAATGAGTTTTGGGTTGCAATTTGATCATTCTAGCTCGTAGCCAATTTTAGTTTTTAGGAAATGTAACGACCATATGCAAAATATAAAATGTAATGAAGGTGAATAATTAGTCATTGTCATGATTTTTGCTGACTGTGTATTTATAGCTCCATTTTATCGGCTTCTACTTTTTGGGCAACATATCTTCTGACAAAGGTTTTTACTACTGCTTCATGCACGTATGTGTTCATATGATAGTACAAGGTTGTTCGAATATGTCCAAGTGTGGGTAATTCCATTTTCGTTCTACGAAATGTCTTTGCATTGCTTAGAAATGGTGACGTAGATGTCGAACTTCTACGTCTCATAAGTACATTTTAGTAGATTGTTGAAGTGTGCAGGTTGCTTGAACTATCGTTTCCGACGGTTCAACTCGGCCAATCTCAACAGATGGACAGAATCTCAAGCATATGTCAAGATTAACCATCGGTATCGATAAATGAATTGTCTATACCGACGATTGATATTAATTTTTTGCGATAGTTCACCTCACTACAAGCATGAGTTCGATTCATTACGTGTTACATTTCTATATTTTATCATGATCTAATCCGTGTTTTTCTCATTGTACCTTGTAGGAGAAATGGAGTTTAAACTCCTTGTTTCGAAAAATGCCCGGTTGCAGAAGTTGGTCTAATGTGCTAGAAGTTGATCTATTGTTTTTTAGTTTGAATGTTGTAATGCGATAACTGAAGATCAGCGGTGTGGGGTTAGTGCATAGTGAATGCATGGATTTTGCAAATAATAATTGGTTATGTACACTATAATTTATTTTGTAATGAAGGCACGAGCACGATGTGTAGGAGTTCCTAGTTTACTTGGACCATATTTTCTTCTTTCCTGATCAATTACAAGGTTGTTCGTCAATGATGATTGGGTTAAGATGACTCACCATTAAATTTTTTCCATTTTACGAAACCATGCTACAATTAATTCACAAGGACGTTAATGTGAGTTTTTTTTATTGGGTTAAGATGATGAGCATTTTTATTATTATGCCAAAGTCATGACAACCATGTTACAACTAATTTACAAAGTGCATAATGTGAGTTGCAGGAAACTTGAATCCATTGTTCAGATGATTTAAGAGTGACAATATCTTAGTAATTATGTGGAAATGGGGGATAAAGGTACAGTTATTTTATTGAACCATCATACCAACTAAATTTAGATGAGATTGGACTTTGTGGTTAGGTAGTAAATGACCATAATTGCTTCCTCCCTTCAAATTAATTATAAATAGCATGTTATCATTGTCAGTTACACATAAAGCACTTCATGAGCATTGAGGGACTTTCAAGTTCTCACATATACAAACCGTTTCATCAATTGTATTACGTCGACATAATGAGTTCGTCCACGGGAAGCAACGAAACATTCAAGCTGATTGAGCCTTTGCTAGTTCACTGTTCATCCCAATAATTTCTAATCTACATTTTCGTAATAATACTATTTAATATTAGCGGTGTTTATCATTTATTCGTCACTTGAGTCTACTATTTACAATTTAGTTGGTGGGGATTAAAATTATCATTTTGAGCGGATTGTGATAGAAGGTTTTGAAGCAATAGGTTGAATTATTTTGAACAAGCATAGAATTGGAGGGCCTTTTATACGTTTTCAAATAATCAACAATTTAAATTTTTCGACATGTTTTATACATTCCATATGTAATATGTTGACAGCTAGATAGATGTAGTACCAAAAAATGGAAAGGGTGACAATAGTTTTCAGGTATCCAAATCGACAATTAAATTATCTATCTCGACAATTATTAAATGTCGAGTTCGACAGTTAAAATGTCTAACCCGACAATTTCAAAGATATTATTCGATAGTTGAACTGCCATAATTTTCGAAAAAGCTTAAAAACATGTGTTTGATTGTTTGGAAAAAATTATTGAAAACAATAACGGTGATAATCAATTCTCAACTATAATCTTCCCACAAATAAAGAAGGAATAACTCAATACTTCATTAAATATGGAATCCTTCGCATTTTCTAGAGGATGTTGGTATTTTTTCCCTTAAAAAATATATCAAAAATAAAACACATCAATTAATAAGATATTCAAAAAGTTCAATTAAATGTGACCATGTTGTATTAAACATTTAAAGTAGTAAACTATAACATAAAAAGATAATTTTTTTAGTAGCTCACCTTTGAGATTGATCAATAGCTTTCCCTTGTTGATGATGGAATGAAGATGGTGACGAAGAAGGTAGGGCTTGTATTCATGGGTGTTTGTGTGTGTGTGTGTGTGGGTTTTTTTTTTTTTTTTGCTTTTTAAAATTTTTACCCCTTCTTTTAACAATAAAAAATATTATACAATATACTATGAATATTTTAAATATTTTGAATAAATAAAATAAAACATCACATCACATCACACTATTAATTACATTCAAATCAAGCATTTATTACTCCTAAAAAGGTGTCACAAGGGGCTAAAATGGACATTTCGTAGAAAAAAGTGACATTTTGGGAAGAAATTGGTGCAAATGAATTTTTTTTATGCATTTTCAATTTTAGTGACATTTATGTAATTTCCCTTTTAAATATAACATGCTTTTCATCCCAAGACTTACCATGTGGTGTTTTTTTTTTTTTTTTTTTTTTACCAATTTTTTTTTTTTTTAGGGCTTTTTTTTTTTTTTATACCAATTCTTGTCTTTTTCAGGACCGGCGGTCAAAGGGGCTTATTGGAGCAGGTGAGACATACAATGGGCTCTAGATTTTTCGGGCAACTGATCCTCTTGCCCTTTTTCGTTTCCATTTCTACTAATAAAACATTATGGCATAAATGTCTAAGTCAACTCTCTCGCTTTACAATATCGAGTATTATTGACACACCATTTATCATTTCTCAATGTGATATTTATAGTCGTTCAAAGCATACTCGGCTACCTTATCCCAATAATCTTGATAAAAGTGAATTTATTTTTCATCGAATTTATTGTGGTATTTGGGGTGGTTGCCCGATTGCTTCTATTTGTGGCACGCACTATTTCCTTACCATTATTGATGATTTTTCACATACCATCTATATATATCTTATGCATTCTAAATCAGCAAAAACTATTAATCTCCTTTATTTTTTTGCCCTCATAAAAAATCAAT